GACAATTCGACCGAGACGCCGCCTTTCCCGTGGGGTACCAACTAACATTTTTGGAGTCAGTCAAACTCCCCGATCCGGGCCTCTACTCAGGTCTATCCTCTTTGGACGACACTCTATTTCTGTTTCATACGTTCATGATCGAACACGTCCGTTCGACTTCGACTTTCGGTGAATCGATTCGACATTCTTCAATTCGAGTTTTCATTCGGCAGCCATTATGCTTTCCTTTATATATAAGGATTTCGTTTAGAATTTATTTCAGAAAATTTTACTCTTCAAAATTCAAGTCATGTTTATACCACTTGAATAATTAATATGGCAAATATTTTTTAATGAAAAGTCAATTGTTTGACTCTCGAACTTGGACTTGAAGAAATTAAAAATAAGAATGCAAAAATAAGTGTTCTCGGGAATTGATGTCAGCATACTTTTCTAACAGAGACAATTAATTTTGAGAAAAGTCCTACGATATTTGGTCTTAAAATACCTCTAATTCTCCAAATAATCTCGGAGACAACAGAATAAGACGAAAGTCGTTGATTTATCAAGTTATAACGTTTCACCATTTCAATACCAATATATTATCTCTGAGGTATTTTATCGACTATAATGCAATATTTATAATATTCTAGTGTTAATAATCAGGATTCGCCGAGCATGTTGGAGCAGGGATTCGGAACTGTTCGAAATAACGTTCAGGGAGTTTTAAATGAATACACTATGGTCACTAGTACAGTTAGTGATAAATTCAATACGGCAGTGGAACACAGTCAGTGTAAGTATGAAAATGATATTCCTATAATTTTGTCTAGTTGATTTTGTAATGAAGTAACAGAAAAAGATGTCTTAACAATTTATGTGCAGAGTATTTGGCAAATACCGTGGCAATGATTCACAAGAATTTACCGTTCTACTTTGAAGATATTGGCAATATAATCTTGTTAATTGTTCAATCATCTCGATAATAAGTGGCAGGTATCCGGTTAATTCGTTCCTGGACGATTCATCCCACAAATTCATCCCACAGCAATTTCGTCCCAAAAATTTTCATCCCATTACAATTTCGTCCCAAATCGATTTCATCACAGGTAAATATATCCCGGTACCATTTCATCCCATTTTCTCTATTTGTGTATGCTTTTCTCTATTTGTCTATGATTCATTAAATTCGCTATGTTGACGTTCAATGTCCAGCGCTCTAATATTATTTTGGTTCAATATGAAGAAAATATGTTGACTACGAGGCACATTTGGAAAGGGTTGTGAATGAGTATGATGATCACCACGTTGTGAAGTATTTGGAGAATGTGGCGCAAAATATTGATTTTTGAATTGTTTTGTATCTGTGTGATCGGACGCGTTAATCGAGGACTTGAAATGCATTGCAAATATGAGGTTCAAAATGTGGCTGTTATTTCCCAGTTTCATTGATATAAGAGTTGACTTTTTGTTAGATAATTTATAAATGTTCGTCGACGAATTTGTGTTATTTATTTAATGGTTTTTTCACATTTCTCACGATTGATCTGTTTTTTGCACATTTTTGTATTCTTATCATGATATATGTCTTAAGTTGGGACCGTTTTTTTTGTGAATAAAAAGTCGACATACACATTCTTCCAAATTCTTTTTGTTGAAATACGTCATTCGCTTTTATTTTGATTTGTGAGATGAATCTGCCGTGGGACGGGATTTTCGGAGATGAAATTGTCGTGGCATGAAATTGTTATGGGATGAATTTGTGTGGGATCAATTAACCGGGATGAATTTGTCCTGGGATGAGTTGACTGGGATGAATTTACCTAGAACCTAAGTGGCGCAGGCAAAAATAATCAGCATTTTGCTCGTAGAAATAATTTTAGGCTACTAGAAAAGCATTTCTGATGTTTTTTTTCGTAAAATCGTTTATTTTGTAGGAGTGAGTTGGGTGAAGTGAAACAGCGGGCAAAATTAAACAGTCGAAATACGACAGATTGACGCAATTCAAGCCAAAAAAAAATTTTTATCAACTGTTTTTTATGAACTTTTGTTTATTAACTTTTTTTTATGATTGGGAGTACTGAGGAGAATAATAATTTTCCATTCAGTAGAAAATGAACATGCAGTCCGAAAACATCTATGATATTCGGAACCCCTCTGGAATGGAACTCTTACCTCTGAATTGCATCAGCGTAAAGACATCTTGTAGAGGTGAAACACAAGACCGAGCTGAAATTTTCACGAGAGAAGATTTTGTCAATGGCTTAATTGGAAAGAAAATGAAGCAGCAAAATTCAAAGTTTAGAGAAAGGCCGAGGGGTTGACCCAGAGGGAGAAAAAGGCAAATGTGATGCTGAATTTTAAAATCGAATGAAAAAATAAAAGTGTAATCCCCCTAATCTCATCAATTGAATTATGAAATGAAATGAAATATGAAATGAAATATGTTATATTGCTTGAAAAGCGAACTGTGGATAAAATTAGTGAAAATTATTAATATTGTCGTCCCGATATAAGGAATATATGAAAAAACTTTGGGTGTTTTGCATAAGGAGAGAACATAGACTCAGTGATAATGAGGTCTTAGTTCGGCTGCTGGAGAGTCAGGCGATAAGCTGACTAGTGGACGTTGAGATCGAGATCTAATAAGGGAATAGGGTTCATCGGTGGAGGTAGTCGACACACTATATAAGGGTTTCGAATATCAGTGATTTTTTCGCACCGCATGTTCTTTTCTACCGAATAGATTATTATTATTTTTATCAGTACTCCCAACAGTCAAAAAAGTTAATAAACAAAAGTTAATAACAGAAAAGTTGATAAAAAATTATTTTTTGCTTGAATAGCGTCAAATAGTCGTTTCTCGGCTGTTTCATTTTGCTCCACTCTGCCCTCAATAATGAGTTAAATAGCGTAAATAATCTCACATTCTGTTTTGTCATCTCTTTAGTATTGAATTGATTGTCAATGATTCGAGAATTAACCATTTGCATTGTATAATATACCATGTATATAGGCAATTGCACCGAATATCATACGCAAAACCGGCGTCAAAATGTTCAACCATTTTTTTTTCATTCGAATACTTATCCATAAAAAAATTCCACTGGGTTCTTGGTCGCTCGCTCCCATTGCAAGTGGGTTGAAGTGAATGTGACCCATTACGGGTCGCACCAATAACTTCCCGACCCATTTCCATTTTTCTGTTTATTAGAAAGAAAAAACACAAATTTTGAAATCTCCATTCGAATAACAAGAAAACGACTGACATGATTTTACTCAGAATCCAATCGAAATCGAATTGCATGAAGATACATCGACCGTACTAAAAAAAATCAAAACCCATCATTATTCTCGGTAAAATGTTGAATTTTCAAAGAAAACTATTTTTTTTCCATTTTTTTTGTAAATTTTCTACAAATAACTGACTAACCGCTGAGGCGATCGTCTTCAGAATCTAATCAGTAGTAAAAAACATTGTTTTTAAATATTTTTTTTAAATCGGTTCATTTGTTCAGAACATGGACAAAATTTAGACAAAATTTGGTCACATACGCACACTCAAACACACACGCGCACGCACGTACCCACATACGCAGACGCATGCACACGCCCAGGCAGGACTCGCCGAGCTTCAACAACCGTCCCAAGCTTGGCGCAACCTCGACTTGCCGGGTGTTGGTAGAGAAGCGTGGGCCATAATTTATCCAATGAGTAAGTCAGTGTTCAGCCAATGGCGGATCTTGAGCCTTCGTTACCAGGGTCGGACCAAGCATGGACGAAGACTGCCCGCCGACGCTTGGCCAACGAGGGGCTACCAACCTTGGCCCAAGCTTGGTGGCCAATGAGTAGCCAGAATCGACAGACGTTCATTGGCGACCATTCCTGGTCCAAGCTCGATTAGCCCGTCTTGAGCCAAGCATCGGGTAACACAGCCTTCGTCCAACATTGATCCGACTGTGGTAGCCAAGGTTCAAGCTCTACCACTGGCTGGCGATTGGCTCAGCCACTGGCTGAATTATGGTCCACGTTTGTCCACCAATGTCCGATGAGTCAGGGTTGAGTCAAGCTTGAACCAGCTGTTGAGAAGAGGGGGAGGGAGGCGTATTTGTAAAAACTCTCAGGGTTAAAGGAAGGGGGAAAGGACAGAATAATAATAATAATAATAATAATAACCGATCGAATCTCCAAGTGTAATCAAAAATTGAAAATCTGGGTTGATCAAAAATACTCAGGCGGGGGGAGAGGGGAGATATTTTTTCACACCCCTCGAATAACCAGGTGATTAATAAATAATGAAATCGAAATTAATTCCGATTATATTTAAAAACTCATTCAGCAAAGAATTAAATCGAGATAGAATTCATATATGGACGATTTGAGTTAACAGTAATAAGAATTGCGCGGTAGACTAGTGGTTAAGGCGTAGGACTAGTGATGTTAGGATCGTAATATTAGACACGGCTAACGACTGGTGACCGAGTCAGGCCCAGTCTTGGTGGCCAAGAATGGCCCAGCGTTATCATTTCGGTGCTCAACCAACCTTGGGCCAGCCTTGGACGCCTGTGTTGGCCCATGACTGGCCACGGTTGGGCCGCCCTTGGACCAAGCTTGGGCCATTAGTTAATTCCTACCTGGGCGTCTTCAAAAGCATGTCAGGATGATTCTAGAGACTGAGAAATGTGGAGAAAACATGGAAATTCCATATTTGAGTTTCGGGGTCATTACAATAACTTCCTCCCTTCGGGGTGGGGAAGTTTGATAATATTTCTCTGAGAGCAGAGATCCCGCAATTCAAGTAATGGCGCACCTCATGATTAAAGAATTTCGGCTTGAAAATTTTCAAAAATTTTCAAAAATGATGGTTACTTTTTTCTTCCCTTCAGCTTCATGGTGAAAAGCTAAGTGTAAAATTCAAACATCCATTTAGGCCTGTTTGCAATTTTTTCTTTCAATCTAATAATATTTCTAAAGATTCAGAAAATTTCCGATTGAAAACCTATTTAAAATTGTTTGCTTGTATGCCGATGAACCGAAACGAAAATAAAATTAAGGCCCGGTTGGATGGATTTTTGCCCGACATGTCCCTAGAAAATTCCCCAGAAAATTGTCAAAAAAAAACCATTTTCCGTTTCCACTTATTATGACCGTATGGATACATAAAAAAATCTGATTTTTTTTTTGAAAAAATAGATTATTTATTGCCTCTTAACGGAAATGGTGCCTTGAAGGGGGGAAATAGGTTTTTATATTTTTAATATTGACTAGAAAATAACGCAAAATAAACACCACCATCTCCCCTAGTCACACCACTGTAACGTCCCGACGTTGAATTTTATAGATGGCACTATTTATCGGCCATTTTAATCCGCGAGATTTGAATTATCATTTCAAAATGAATATAAAAAAGTCTGAAATTTGAGAATGGCAAGAAAATGGTCGAACAGAGGACAATGAACAATGGACAAAAAATAATTTGACGAGTGTAAGAAAAACCGTTGCCAGCAATCGGAAATGTCATGTACTTGAGTTGAGTTCTCAATTTATTACTCTCCAAAATTTGTTACAGAAAGGCTTTTCCTGAAAATTCTAAACTGTTTGATGAGATGTCTGGTTCGGGGAATTAATTGTGCANGCCAGCAATCGGAAATGTCATGTACTTGAGTTGAGTTCTCAATTTATTACTCTCCAAAATTTGTTACAGAAAGGCTTTTCCTGAAAATTCTAAACTGTTTGATGAGATGCCTGGTTCGGGGAATTAATTGTGCAGATGGATGAGTTGGAGTCGGATTACGGGGAGTGGGATGAGTAGAACCAAGAAATGAGCGGAACACGTGCACGTGGTCACAAATTCACTGTATTTGTCAAAGAAAATGTTCACAATAAATAAGTCACTAGAGATTGAGTCACTAACTAAACCGTAAGCAATGAGCGGACCGAAAAGTTGAGAAGAGATTGAGCTGACACAATAAGTTAATCCGAGTCACTAGAGAAATTGAGCGGTACAAAGAGAAGTGCCATTAACAGGATCCCGGAAACGAAAGAGAGAGACACGGGCTTACAGGTGCCACGTGCCCTAATTCGATGGTCACATGACCTAATTTAATATAGATCATATGGTAATAAGGAGCTGTCCAGGGCGTGGCGCCTCAGGTGTCCGAATTAACAACCCCCGGTCATCTGAGGTGAGCGCGTCAGGTGTGCGTGAGTGGGGAGAGAATGGATGAGCCTTGCGTGCGTTAGTGTGAGGGACCTGTCGGCTGACAGGATTTCCAACAT